AGATGAACACAAATGTTCAGTATAATCAAATCTGTGATTTGTGCATAAGTAATTAGTGCTGGCTGCCTCACAAGGTCACAACACAAGGAAAATCAAATGTCAATATCACTACAAATGATCTCACTGTTGGAATTGGATCATATACTAAAAAGGGAGGCAGGGGGTTGACTTCATGCATGAATTGATGAGAAGAAACTCTATATTCCATTTACTGCAACTGCATGCATTTGTGGAGATCTCGGTAATAAGACGTGCTGCTGCGCTGACCGCCTTATTACATGCACGAAAGATTATATTGACAAATAACATAAGAAAGAAAGAAAGAAAAATAAAATAAAATAAAAGGAAAGGACCTGCAACTGCTCAATTTTCAGCGGATTTAAGAAAATCAAGAAAAATATATTGAGAGTATTTTCATAGTTTTAAGGATTTTGCTCTGGTAATACAAATATATTTTCAGTTTTTGACACGTGTCAAATTGTGATTGGCATGTAATAAATAGGAATTGCAACTCCCCAAATATTTTGCTGGAATTGAAGAAAAGTCATCCTAAAGAGGTAAAAAAAGACTAAAAAGAGGGAGAGAGAAAGAAAAGAAACAGCTTCCTCCCACACTGTTTGTTTCAGTGTCTTTATATTCTCCAGCAAAACCCTAATATGCTCCCTCCCTTTTTACCTTGTATAGATAGAGTTTTGTTGTTGATGTTAAAGATCAAAAGCAACAAATCAAATTGTGTTAGAGTCTTAGAGACATTGTAATCTCAAGACTTATTATAAGTGAATTTCCCAAAACCCAACTTCATTTGTCTGTCTCTCATTCTCAGACTTCCTCCTTGAAAATGATCCTCAGAAATTAACCGAACAGAAGAAGAAGGAAAGACACACACACACACACAAACACATATACACTTATATTGAAGCAATTCATTCATTCATAGCAAACATTGAGCTTCAGAATGATTGATGGTTATGATCATGATGCAGCAGCAGACCTCTGCACCACCCGCGTCTCACTCAATTACTCCCCCCTCCTCCACCACCACCGCCATTAGATCACCTACGGCAACCCCCACACACTCGCAGCAGCCATCGCCTCTCTCTCGCCATGCTCTGCCTCTGCCCGCGCCACCTGTCGATCACGTACTGCCTATCGCCGCTGCGCACCCTTCCAGTGAGCCTGCGTCCACAATTCCGTGCCCACTTGCGAGGGTCCGGCTCTCCGATATTGCCCCGTATGACGGGGCACCGAGCGGGCCGTATTTGAGGGCGGTGGAGGCGCTTTCGGGGTCTCTGATGAGGCACAATGCGGCCGTCATCGAATTGGGTAGCGAGGACGCGGCTCTCTTGCGCTGCGGCTTGGAAGCTTCCAGGTTGTATTTTAGGAGTAGAGCTCAGCTCGGTGCTGGGAAAGGAAGCCGTGGAGTTTACATGTACAGAGCTGGCAGGTATTGCTTAATTTGATGAATGACTGAATGAGTGAGTTAGGAAATAGAATTAGGGCTAGCGTTGTCGTGTGCTGTATTGGTGATCAATGCAGTTTGAAATGTGTGTTTTTGGGTCAAAGAATTCGTCTTTGAGGATTTTCACATTGTAATTACTAATAACATTGTATTCAACTTTATGATTCTTTGTTTGTGCACTCATTTATCTATCTGTTTCTTGTTGCATTGAGCTTTATGATAACAGTCTTGTTATCATTGTCCTATGAGAATTGAGATTTGGGCTTCTGAAGAGCTTCAGTTGTTGCAGGGCTTTGGAAGATTGGGACTCATCCCCACCATGCATGGCCGATATTTTCAGGTGCATGGGCAAGGCGGCCCATGTTGCGTTGTGTGCAATAGCTAGGCATCTTCGTTTGCGAAGCGAGTAAGGATGGTGATGATGGCTCTTTAACTTTTCACTTGCTTTTCTTCTAGTTTTCCTGATTACCATTTTTGTATATCTGCTAATGTAACTCCTATCTTTGCAGTGTTTTTAACCAGTTACTTGATGATACTCCCCTTCCTGCTAATGAGGTGTCCTCATCAGTGCTTGTTGCAACCTACTCAAATGCTTCCATGCAAAATGGAAAAGGTGCTATTGGGGGAGGGAAGCCAGGAATGAATGGTGAAGTTGAGAAGGGGTTGTTGACATTGATTTCCTCAGACAGTCCTGGTATACAGGTGCCCTTCTTTTTCTTGATTATCATGGTTTCTGAAAGATTGGTTAATTTGCAGATGATGAGCTTTGCATCTTATTGTCATTTGTTTCAACGTCTCTTCTAAACAAAAAGATGATTTGCTTCATGATTTCTGTAAATTACTTGTGCAAACTGTTTTCTGGTTCAGGTATGTGACCCCAATGGTCGTTGGTACCTAGCAGAGGTTGGGTTAGCTCCTGGGGATGTTTTGCTACTTACAGGTAAGGCACTCAGCCATGCTACAGCTGGCCTTCGCCCTGCTGCATCATATAAAGCTGCTTCCGATTACTCCTCAGGCATTAATAATGGCGGGAGGTACAAATTGTCTTCTTTCCTTTGTTCCCATTAATGTGTTTGTCCCTCATTTCAATCATATTTACAGGAAGTTCATTTGGAATTAACCTGATTGCATTTGGCAATTGTAGGACATCACTTGCATTTAGGCTCATGCCACAAGGTAACGCTATATTAGATTGCTCTCCAATTGCAGCGGCTGGTCATGTCATTCCCCAGAGCTATGTCCCAATATCTGTAAGCCAGTTTATGGATGATCTTTCTGCTGAGGAAGATGTATTGGGCAGTCGTTCTGATAGTACTTATGTAAGTTTTATCTTCAAGTACCTGATGTAGGGGGTTAAAGTTTTAAAAAGAATATAATGAGATAAAAACAAATAATGATGGAGGCTTTCTTGGATTTCATTGACAGGCTCAATGCCATATTTGTTATGATCTCTGCACTAGTTATCTATTCGTAGCTTCTTTAAATTCATTAAACTAGACTTCTTAAGACTAGAAAAGCCTGCTTCTATCAGTTTTGTGATTTAATAGAACTAAAAATGTTATTGCGTGGTTTGCACATGAAAAGAATATCTTAAATAGTAAACCTAAAAATTATCACTAATTTATTATTTGTTTGTGGTAATGTGTATATACTTAAGACTTATCAAAAACATCTTAAGCAACTATATTTCCTTTGCACCACATTATTTGTATCTATAATTTTTATATTCTTTTACGAAAAAGACAACATGTGTGGCCCAGGACTGACAGCTTTCTTATTATGGAATTTGCATTTGCAGGTAGCTCGAAATAATTCAAACAAAGAACCATCTTTAAGAAGTGTTCTCTCAGATCCCTTATCGTAAGTGGTTATTTGCCTTTGAACTTAGTTCCTTCTCTGCCTAGCAATATGCTGTCTGTTTAAATTGTAAGCCTCACTGTTGTCATGTATGGGCTGGTCACTCGGGTATGTCTATGCAGTGGATGATGCCTGCCGACCAGTCACAATGATAATGAAAAGTTCTGAACTTATACTATATAACAAAGATTACTGATAAGATCATTACATCAAGACTTAATATGCTAGGATGGTTGGTGGGATGGTTGATATTTCTAAAGCTCAATCTGCAATTGTAGACTAAGTCTTATCTCTCTAAAACTCCCCCCTCCACTTGTTGGTTATCTCAACATGTATTTATTCTTATAATGTTTAGTCGGCTTATATAGGGTGCTAAAGTTTCTTCTTTTTTCACTCCCTTTTTTTTGTGATTTATAAATGCTTCAGTGGTGCATTCCTTGAAGATGCTGTGGTAGTTTCCTGTGGGCATTCATTTGGCGGTCTCATGTTAAGAAGAGTCATTGACACAGTAAGTAGGCTATCTCCTGATACTAGAAGACATATGAGAAATGCTGCTCTTATTGCTTTGTAGAGGCCCAGGGATTTTGCACGTGTGGATGTTTGTATCCTACTTCTGATTTTCTTATGACCAAAGGACTGCTATTCTCTTAATATCCTTCATGCCTTCTTATGATCGCCTTGCTAATGGATTTATTACCTCTAGATGGGAAAGGACTAGAATCATAACTACAGTTGTTTTTTTCCATCACAGTCAAGATGTACCCTCTGCAGTGCAGACATTGAGATCGGGTCTCTGGTTCCTAATCTTGGTAAATTCCATTTTGCTTTTTAGTTCTTCCTAAATATGTTCTTATTCCAATTTGTTTCACAATCTTTCTATATAAAAAAAAATTAAAAATGCGCACACGCACACGCACACATGCATATTATATTTTTTTAGTCTTGGATCATCATGCTACACCTACATTTCTATCCACTTTTACCAGGCAATACATTCCTTGTTGTTTCTATTTATATTTTGACATAGAATGATTTCCTCAACAGCTCTGAGAGCTGCAGCTGCAGCAGTGAAGCATGAGGATGATCGAAGGCTATTTCATAACGCGACTATCCGAAAGCGTCGGAAAGAATTGGGTGACCAAATGGATTTATCAAGAAGACCAAACAGGGTGAGTGATAAAAATGCCTGATATTTCTATTACATATTCCATTTAGACTTTTGAAGTCATGCAAGTCATTGTCAGAATATATGAAAATGGGAAGTGAAATGGGATGTGTAAGGTTAACAGATTGTAGGTAGGCAATTGTGACATATGAAAATTATTAAGCTGTGGGGCTGCTGAAATTGATATGGTGTCTTGACAGAGTTAGATGGAAGATTTTGTGTCATATTGACTACGGTTATGGTAAATGAGGAAAGTCAAGTGGTAGTGATTCATGGAATTTGCAAAACGTCTTTGGAGTAAGGAGGGTACACATCCGTGTTTCAAGCATTCCTATTGCATAATTTGTTATGCGTGTGCAGGAAAATGGAGATGTTGGTGATGATGGGCTTCGTGGGGTGCAGTATCCATTTTCTGTGAATGAAAAAGTGGTAATCAAGGTGAGTTTATTTCATTGTTTATCAAAATTGTCTGTTGCCCATGATTGATCAAATAGGAATTGTAAAGGGAATACTTAATTATGCAGGGGAACAGGAGGACTCCAGAAAAATTTGTTGGGAAGGAGGCGGTCATTACATCGCAGTGTCTCAATGGCTGGTGAGTTGGCATGACTAACCCGTGCTTTTTTTTCTTTTTTTTTTCTGTAGACAGAAACTTTTGTATCCAATGCTTTCCTCATGTTCATGCAGGTACTTGCTCAAGATTATTGAAACTGGAGAGAATGTTCGCCTGCAATACCGTTCCTTAAGGAAGATGTAGAACGCGCCTGCCAATGAGGACAATGCTCTTCACAAACCATCGAGAACAGCATCTCACGAAATCATTAACTTGTTGTAGTACTTAAACCTCGATATGGAAGTTGCTTGTCAGTCCACCACCCCTTTGTTGTAACTTCTTGTGTTGGAATATGTAACCATAAGAGAAGTAGTGTATTAGAATCTGAGTCTCAGTTGAGCGCTTGTAAAATGGAAAACAATGATACGTTTTTAGTTAGTGTTTTGGGTTTTACAGGTGATGGTACTTTGATTTGATTATTAAACTCTACCCTGATCCAATAGTGAATTAGGCAGCGAATGAAGACGACTACAAATGACACATGATGAGTAGGCAGATAGAGCTTCTGTCCTCGCTCCTCTCTCTCTCTCTCCTAATAATAGATTTATTTATTTACATTTTAAATTAAAGGACGATTGTCCCTAAACTCTAATGTCTTCTCAAATAATTCAGTACGGAATCAAGTTATTTCATTGCACGTATATAGAATGTGCAGAATTTGCAGTTGCGCAGTAGGCGTGGCTTGTGGGACGCTTCTTCTTCCCTCTTTCAATCTCTCCCACAAACACAAAAAAAAGTTTGCATTCAAAGTTGGCAAAGCTCATGTTCCTTCCTCCCTCCCTTCCACCTCTCTCGTCCTTTTCTTTTCTCCTGCCTAAAAATGCAGCCAAAACACCATGATTCTTCAAGTGAGAGGATTTGCAAAGCCAACGCTACGGCCTGTGCTAACAATTCTGATTCACAATTCCGATTCGATTCTGAAAACTTCGCCTCCGAATGCAAAACATTTTGAGACATTTAGAGGGAATTTAACTGAAACTATGTCGTTAAATTAAAATCCACAGTTATACTTTTATTATTATTGGTTTACAGGAATAGAAATAGACATAAGAAAATGGATTAAATTGAATGTATACCCAAACATTTGACAAGGTTAGAACTTGTGTAATTCATTCACTGGTTTTAATTTTAATTTCCTTTCAGTGAAGACAGGAAACTAAAGATACGGGGGACAATTCCAATTTACAAAGGCTAATGAAATTTCACTACCACTCTTTCTATTTGTAATTGATTGATTCGGGTGTGGTTTTGCTTCTCTTTGTTTGTTCGTTCGTCTCTTTCTTGCTTTAAGTTTTGTTTATGGCTTTTGGCCCCACTCCTCTCTCTCTCTCTCTCACCTTCTCCAGCATGTGGTTCCTGTTACACAAAACACCATTGAACATCTCATTCACGCCATTACTCAACCGCTCCAACCCATCCGAAAACGACCCGGTTGCCCTCTCCAGCGCTTTTACGACATCGTTTAGCCGCTTCTTCTCCTCCTCCTCCTCTACTGCAGCAACTCCTGCCACGTCATCAATGACCTCACACACTTCCCTTACACGTGTCCCCACGTCTTCCAACTCTTCCAATAGGCCTTTCTGTTTCTTGTCCTTTTCGCCCCCGAATCGCCGTTTCAACTCGGCAGACACCTCCGATTCCAACTCGTTCAACGACTCAGCCCATGACAACTCCGCCGGCACTCCGACCCTTACCATCTCAGGAGATCCGTGGATCGTCGCCACCACAACTCCGGCGACGAACACAGTCACCAATCCCACGGCGTGCACGGTTCGACGCACGAGCTTCCCGACCCTCGAGGCCTTGCCGCGTGGCACGTTGCGGAGCCCCGTGGCCATATCTCTGACCAAGACATCCGCATTGCTCCGTTTTCCGAGGTCCGAAGCACAGCGCTCGAAGTCGGAGAGAGCTTTGCTGGCTCGACGGAGCTTCTCCAGAGACTGATTCCCGTCGCCGAGAAGGTGAAGAACGAAGGTGAGAAGAAGGCGACGCTGGCGAAAGCGTTCGATGTCGGCAGAGACGGAGTTGCAGAGGTCCAAGAGCTTGACGCTGTCGTCCAAATACCAAGCAAGCGAATCATCGAGAGCCGCTACTTTGAGATTGGAGATGAGAACTCTGGCTTCGGACTGAGCCAAGGCGAGGAAATCGACGGCCTTGGAGAGCCAAGACAGGCTGATCGACGGTGGAGTCAGCGTTTTCAAGCGGCAAAGCAGAGCGTCATCGAAGGAGCGTGAGATGAGGTCCAAATTGTTGGGAACAGAGTGTTTCTTAGCCACGCGAAATGGCGAGAACGAAGAAAAGTGAGAGATTTCCGTTTGGTACATTGCCAGATGATAAATGTTTTCAGGGAGAGAGATTGAACTTTTCCGAGGAAAATATTATTTTCCGGGAAAATGTTCCAATGTCGGGCCGAGTGAAGAAACAAACGGCTATATACAATATGTGTGTGTAGAGGTTTATATTAGAATATGCAAGGGTACCGGGAGAGAGAGGAAGTTTGGCAATTGGCATGCAATTTCTGATAACAAGTTTGTGCTTTCTTGGTTTCTTCTTTCTAAGACGCGGTTCCGAGAAGAAATCCACTACTCTCTACATCCTCAATTTACGCTATTGCCCGTCGCTTCTGGGATGTTCTTGCTGAATGCCGGTTTAGGATAGGATTACACAAATGCCCCTAACTGTTTGACCAAAGCTTTTATATCAAATATGGAAAGGATATATGAAGGTTAATTTAGGAAGAACAAGTACTGTGGGAGTGGGGGAGGGAAGGGAAGGACTGGACCGTATCTTTCGGTGGTGGACTGAACACGCTAATTTGGTGTAAAGGCCCGCTCATCCGTCATTCCTGCCTTCCCCACTTGACACTTTATCTATATTATTATTTATCCTTTGCATTTCTTATCATAGACAAGAAAAAAAGTTCATATCTCTTAACCTACCACCCATCGATATCTTTAAAACTACCCATAAATTTAACTCTATATGTTTTGTACATCTCAAAAACACTTTTAAATTATTTAGTTAAAGCGAAGCGAGTTTATACGTCTCAAAAGCACTTCTAAATTGTTTAAGTAAAGCGAAGCGAGTGACAGAAAACTATAAGTGGTGCTTACGTAATAAAACAGAATCCAATCTGCATTTTGCAGTCTGCTGCACGCAAGGGGAAAGGAAGTAATAAATGTATACCTCCTAATATTAGTAGGCTTAACTAATTTTTTTCTCTAACCTTTAAGCGTGCCAAATTGAATTTCTGGCAAGCCAAGCTTTGCCCTGTCACCCCTCCCCACCTACCTAACCTTATATTTGTGCTAATGCTTATATGATGTTCCACTAATCCATTCGCATTAAAGGAAAAGAAAAGAGTTTCGGCTTAAACAAGGATTTCTACAAAATTTCATGTTTTCTTGAAGCTTTTTCAAAGTTGTGCATGCTTGTATAAGAATATTGCAATGGAAGTTTTGTTCATGGCTTAAAGAAATAGCAATAAAATTTCAATAATAAAATTAAAATTGTGAATGTTTTTTATGTGGATGCCTTATAACTTATGAACAATTCAACCCTACTGCCCTAATCACGGGATATCAAACAAAGTTGCGGCATTATTAATCAGTCTCTCACATCACATGTATGATAATGACAAGTAAACCAATAAAATATTGAATTACAACAAGGCTGTTAATACAACTTAAGCCAATGGTTTTCATTAGTTGAGGTGAGGAACCGTCTGACAACACTAAGCCACAACTTGCTAATATTGCCAAGTTCTTGGCCCTTTCCCCTTCCTGGAATATATCATATATACAAGAATCTCATCGTCTCTCTTTTTTTCCTTTTTCTTTTTAAAAAAAATAAGCGATAACATATTATTAGGGGTGGGCACGGTACGGTACGGTACGGTATTGAGCCCGTACCGCTACCGATACCGGAAATTTGAATCGGTATGGTACGATACGGTATTATGGTTTGCCAAAATTGGTACCGTACCGTACCGTGCCAAATCGGTATCGGTACGGTATCGGTACCATTTCGGTACCAAAATGATACAACTAAAAAATGAACTAATTCAATATTCAACACCAAAATAAGTGATGCCTAGGTTACAAATTCAAAGATTCAACATATTCAATATCCATCAACATTTTCAATATTCAATATCTATTAACATATTCAATATCCAAATCCTAATCAACATATTCAATATCCAAATCAACCAAATCAATATTTATCCATCAACATATTCATCAAATCCAAATGGTTAAAACTCATGCATTATGGCTTACAAACAAAAAGAGTTAAACTTATGCCTTATGACTTACAAAAATACAAACACAATCCAAACATAAATGACAAAAGCGTTTGAGAAATTGAAAGGCAAGCGAGAGACAGAGAGCGAGAGAATGAAAAAAAAAAAAAATTATATTTCAATAGAGTACTATTTGGTACGGTACGGTATTGACCGGTATCAAAATCTTGATACCGCTACCATACCATACTCGATTGGTACGGTACGGTACGGTACCGAATATCTATCGGTACCAAATGAAACGGTATGAAATCGGTACGGTGCGGTTAGGATACGATTTCGGTATTTCGGTTTAAGATGCCCACCCCTACATATTATTGATGAACAGACAAAAGTGGGAACTATGGTGGTAGCTCCTTTTAGTTTCTTGCAAAATTAAATGATATCTAATTTTGATATTTACAAGCAATCCCCCAATTACATTTTCATCTCCAAGGAAAAATAAAAGGAGGAGAGAATACGCACTGAAAATATAACAATCTTTTACAATAATATTTAACCGTATATTTTTAATGGAGCTCCTAGAAGAAAAATTGATTAATCAACAAAGTCTAGGCAGCGGTCTAGCATGAGTTGGGGTAGCCAAAACATGATTATGCTTCACCATCCTTGACATCTGCCCCTTCATTTGCCTGCACAGTTTCTCTAACTCCACCACCCTCCATTGCATCCTCTGCAAGTTTAGTGTTTCTTCCATCTTCCCTTCTTCCGCTAAGCTCTCTTCATCATCAGCATCACCATTGTACACAACCCTTTCATAATTTACACATTGTTGTTTTGGTTTTGGTGTTGGTGGTGTTATTTTGGATTGTTGAGACATAAGGGCTTGCATGGCAACCCTTGGTGGGATTTTTGGATTCTTGGCAAGCTCTTTACATGCTCCAAGGCTCAGCTTTTCATAGTTTAGGCATCTGCATAATCTTGACCGCTCCTCAAATGAAAGACTAGGATGAGACTGCCCACCACATATTCAATTCAAAAATTAACTATCAGTAATCAACTACATTAAACATGAGTTTCTGAAATCATACAAGTTAAAAACACATCTTTTAAGTAATGACAACATATATTGGGCGACGTGGGAGCACGTGTGGCCATAGGGTTCAAGACGTGAAGCCTTGCTATGATATCAAACCAAAAACCAATTGACAATAGAGAGAGTAGCCCAACTCCTTATAAACTCAGACTATGTCTATTAACTTTTCAACGTGGGACTCTCAACAAAAATCACATTCACAGAAATTAATTGGAATGTGCATGCCAGCCAAAAGATATGGGCCATAAATCATGTGAATACTAATATTAATTCCTAATAGCAACAATACCCCTTTCCCATCAATAGATTATGATGTTGTGTTCCCCATTCTTCAAGTAATAGTAAAGGATGTCCATCATTCTTTTGTGCCTCTTCTCCTTTCCCAATCTGGCCATGGAGGCTTTCTATCTTTTTTCATCTCCTATTGCCACTCTCAGCTTATTGGACAATGACATCCCCATTTTGAAACAGAGGGAGGGATTGATAAAGGATGGGGTTACCTATACTTTGTATAGCCTAGCCACATTCCAAAGATTAGAATGCATCCTTATTTCTTGAGAGACAGAAACAGGCAGATTGTTTGACCCAAAAAAAGAAGAAGAAACAGAAAGGCACACTCTCTGCAGGAACGATGAACCTAATTTTCCAGAATAATCAACTAAGTTTCTTCCTTCTTTTTTTCGGTCTGATTCCTTCATGATAGACAATTTGGAAACAGAATGCTAATTAATGCAACTTCTCTACCCAGAAAAAGAAAGAAAAAAAACAAGGAAATAAGAAAGAGGAATTGTTAAGTTCACTTTTTTCAAAAGCTTTCAATTATTTTGTCATGATGGAGCAAAAGAACACGGAAATAAAAGAAGGGAGAGGTATGGCATGCTCACCTCAAGATAGATATCAATGGCTCTGTAGGCCCCATCAAAGCAATCCCTGGCAGAATCAGGTAAACTCTCTGCAACTCCCAAAAATTTAGAAATCTTGAGATTCTGATCAGGGGATATTTCACCCAAGTACTTATCAATCAATCTCCCGGCTATCTTCAACTTCTGCACTGACACTCCATCACTTTTAACAAACACTCTTATCAATCTTATCACAAGATTGACATCATAAACACCCCTGTCATGCCCAGACACTAGCAAGTCATCCAATGTTGCTTCATCAAGCATTCCACCAATCAATCTTTCCAAACCAAGCCTGTACTCTTTACTCAGTCCAAAGCCAGACACAATCCTCAATACCCAAAACAGCGCTCTGCAGGAAAACGTTTTTCTCCCAACCCAAATGACCCCATGAACAGCTGTGTCCACAAGACCACCAAACTCACATTTTGAATTCACAGCAGCTGATGATGTATGATTATAATTAGCTTTCCTCTGAGCTGAAACTTTCAGGTAATGAAGGAGAAATCTTGTGAGGATCAAGCTGTTGTTATCAGCTCCATAAGCACCCAAACTCTGGAAGAGTTTTTCAATGATCTTTGGTGGTAAAATGGCCACATCATCAAACCACCAAGCTCTGCTTGATGAGCTTGGCTTGATTGATTCAGGGGTGTTCTTATATGAGGAAGAGGGTCTAAACCCAGATGCAGTTTCTGGAGAAGAGGACGTAGAAGACGACGCGGCAATGAGGCTGCTTATATCTGAATTTTGAGTGATCTTAGCCAACAGAGCACAAATGAGTTTGTCTAGCAGACCAGACGAATCTGCGTAGTTGCAGAATGAGCCGCAGCTCTTGAGGCAGACTAGTATGTCTTTCCATGACCACTCAAAAAGTCCATCAAGAAAGACTTGTGTTTGCAGCAATAGATTGCAAGTTGAGAGCTTCTCAGTCATACCAAGGTAGACTGCACAGCAGTGGAGGAGGGACACATTTGAAACTGTGGTTGTGATTCTTCCGTTGTTGTAACAGAATCGAGAAATTAACTCGAACCCATCAGGGCCTCCAGGGAAGTCATCGATTTCAATCCCTGAATTCTTGATCTGGGTCCTTCTCCTTTCCTGCTTGATGATCTTCTTCAACCTTCCTGAATATGTTGATAAAATCTCCTGCAAAAGTGTGTTGGAAACTTTTTAAGAGATTGTTTGATTACATAGAAAGAAGTATAACAAAGTTGCAGTTTCCATACCTCATTCACAAAGAATGTTTGCTGACCATTAATGTGGATTTGAAAATCAGAGAGTTGTGACATAGCTGTTTTTGCATTGAATGAATTTCAACAAACCTCTATCTGCATCACAGACCGCAAGAGAAGGCTGAAAGCTAATGTGCTGCTGGCCCAAGACAAGGGGAAAAGGAAAATGTTTGTACACGCCTAGCAGTGACCCTATTTATAAAGGGTACGAGTGTTTGATTAAAAATAAATCAATAATAAATAAAGAGTACAAGTTTTTGACCTTTAGGAGGAGCATCATGACTCATCAGCAATCTTTTAATTTAATCAGTGAACCGTGTTGAAACAAGAGAACTTCTGTTCTGTCCCAAAAGATTAAAAAAGGAGAGAGAGAGAGAGAGAGAGAGAGAGAGAGAGTAGGTTTTTTCTTTGCAATTGCTGCCATGCTTTTCCATCCAATGATCCATACAATTGAGGGTTTGATGTCCCACCAATAAGATGTCATGGTATGGACATCAAGGAAGGAAGGAACATATTCCCAATGAGAATGAGAAGTTGTTTTGCTTTGGGTTCTTATTTAAGAAGTGAGAACTCTGTTTTTGAACAGGAACAAATAAAAACAAAGAAAGAAAGAACTTACACAAGTTTTCGCTCATTCGATTAATCCAGAAAATAAATGTTGGTTCAACAAATAGGAAGATAAAGATAACGTGGAGATTTTGTCTTTTTATAGGGAGACAAATTCTGCAAGTCAAGATGGTTGCTCTCATGGAATAGTTAAATTGTTATTCCTTCGTCATACATGCAAGCTCAAGTTGCCTGCACTTTAGGACTTATTCTAATTAAGGACAATCAGATTTCAGACATGTGAAGAAGGGGCCCAGCCAGCAGCACAGAGAGAGAGAGATAGCAGCAAATGAAGGAACAATAAGTTATTCTGTCTCTCTCGTGTTGTTATAGATGGGATTATATTTTGTATTAGCCGCATCAGGTTAAGAAGCAAAGCATAATTTGTAGTAAACAAATAAAAACTAGCAAGGTATCAAACTGGGAGAATCAACATTAATTAAGCAGCTAAATAGTTAATAATTGCGGATGGGGTTTGGCAATTTAAGGTCAGTTTTATAAGAATACAATAAAAAAGGTCGAAGGTGAAATCACAAGTGTTATATCATTTAGGTAGTTGAGTAGAGCTGTGCATTGTGGTACTTTTGTTTCTACCTTTTGTTGAAAAAATGAAGAAAGAAAGACTAGGCAGTTGATCAAATGAATATCAATCTTTCGTTTTTTTTTTTTAACACAAGTGATATTGGGGAGGGTTTTTCTCACATACACTGCCAATGTGTCATTAGACGGCCATTTTCCACCTAACTAGACCTCATTGGCCCATATGCATCCTTTGTTAAAACTTAAAAAATAGGATTTCGAAACAAAAAACACTCAACCATGCAATTTCAAAAATAACCCATTCCATTGTGACCAGTTAATATTCATAACTTAAAAGGAAAATGATGAAAGCAAAATTTGAATAGTGCCAACGTATGGAAAACAAATTTTACATGCAGGCGCAGATCACAGTTCGAAGAAAGTGGAGGAGACCCATATTCCATCCGACTAGCTTAAAATGCCAAGTAAAACAAAGTTCAACACGAATGCAGTCCGACCTACTTGCATAGGAGAACCAAAACTCTATCCCATAACCTTCAGTAACGGTGCCTGTTCCGGTCTCGATCCCTGTCCCTGTCCCTGTCCCGCCCATATTCTTTGTCCCGATCATAATCATAATCTCGAGGTCTATCTCTCCCCCTATCCCTTTCCCTTTCTCTGCTTCTACTGCGACGCCTATCCCTGTCATCTCTTTCTCTGTTCTTGCTGGTCGGTCTATCATCGCGTTCCCTTCCTCTCTCTCTATTTCTCTCCCTGCCATCTCTGTCAATTACACCTGCCATATCATTATTGTGAACAAAGTCAATCACTTATTTGACTAAAACAGAATGGCAACAACCATTCAGGTAAAGTTCCTAAAATAAGCTTCAGGCTGAACAGAGATTTTTTAGTGCTATGATTGTATGAAATGGAAAAAGGGACAATCATGTCGGAGAATGGGTTAATTAACTCCTAGGTATATAACCTCAATAATTAGGGATTTTAAATCTAAAATATTAAATCAATTACATCATACTTAAACATTATGGATAACCATGCCAAAAAATGCACAAGTACCTATTTCCTCCACCTCCCATCCAGCACGTCCAGCACCTGGAAGAGCTCGTCCAGTTTCAGTTTGTTGTGTTTTAGCGCGAAATTTTTTCTTAAGGTTGCCAAACTCATCATACATCTCGCCATCATCCTGAGAATGGCACAAAATTTCAGCTAAACCAGAAAAAAAAATATATATGAAACTTGAACAAATGCTATCTATGTAACTAAATCTTACTTCTTCTGCCTCCCGCCGACGTCGCTTGATTTCCTCTAATTCTTCTTCATCAAGTTCTTTGTAACCACCACCACGCCCCCCTCTGTCAAATACATGTAAGGCAAAGCAGTATAATCTCTAGAAATGTCACAAAAGAATGCTAAAGTAAAGTACAGACCAAAAAATATTTCTAATAGAAAGTAGAGGTAACCTAAGAAAACAGGAAAAGACAACATGATTTATATTCTTCACATATACAGGTTACTATTCAAATAATTACGTATATTTTTTCCATTTAATATTGTGGATACGAGGGAAGGGAAGCATTGACACATTTAGGTATGAACATAGGTACATAACAACCATAACAGGAGAAGACTGTGCATAGGTATGTTTATGTTATATTAGTATCACATCGTCTCCAACACAATAGATTCCTATTCTTCATTGGCAACTGATAATATATTAAAGTAATAATCATGTAATACCTTACACCACCTTCATTGTGACCAGGTCTATTTGTGTTGCATATGTTGCATTTTGTACGCTTTGCCCAGTTGATGTTGCCACACCTGAAACCAAAAGAGCAGACGGAAAGTGTGAACAATAATGCACTCAGCTCAGCTCATGACACAATATAAATAACATCTTTGTCCAACATCAAATAAAAAATGCATATGATACTGCTATCTAGTTTTCAAGCACAATAGAATTAGCTTACGAGATGAATGCAATATGCAAACTTCTATATATCTGAATATCAACAATTGAGTAGGCCAGTACAGCATCAATCATATAGCCTCATCGAACTTAGCCTTCAAGTATGAAACCTAATGCTACATGAAGTAGTTACAACTCACAATGTCAAGGTGTTATGTGTGTCATAAAAACCAATTAACTAAGGTTGATGCAGGATGGCACCTACCTCCCAAAACCTCGCAATATGATAAAAGATACGTTAAGATGTAAAGAAACTCAAAATCACAAGAAGATAAAATAAAAAACCCTTAAAATATAACGAGGAAACCATGCTTCCAAAATATGGAGATGCTGAAAATCCTTCACTATCTTATATAGGAAAAACTTCTGAGATTGTGGTCACCTAATTTATTAATTAAGTTCACATGATTTTCACCTATTGTAAAAACAGCAGAGCCCATTTTTTTCTTAAAAATTCAGAGCTGCTCATGAACTGAATTATTAAATAATTTCCCACCATTCCACTTCATTGGACTGGAACTTAACAACAACAACAGTAACAAGAGTCTACGAGATAGAAAAGGCCTTGAGAGCGGGAGGGAGAATGCAGTCTTACATTGGACAAGGCCAATCATTTGGACCAAAAAGTCCACCTGTAGGAGCACCAACAGGACCACCACGGCCCCCAGAGTCAAGTCCACGACCCCTGCCACGACCACCACCTCCTGCGCCACCACCGGAAGCACCAGTAGGTCGAGCACTTCCGCAGCGATTGCACACACCGCGAAATGCAAAATTCACGTTGGAACAGCTGCTATAAAAATATGGCATGAGAAGCCATTTACTGTGTAAATATTACATTTAAGAAATACAAATGCTCAAAAAAGTGCAAGAAAGAGCTGCTCACCAATCTCACATCACAGACCTTGTATTCGGACATGTCCAGTCTCCCTCTTGTTGCCATGCTTTCCCAGAAGCATCACCCCGACCTCGACCGCCGCCAACACCTCCATTTGTATCCTGAGCAATTTCCTCGAGTCCATCATACTCACCACCAACAATTGGATCGCCCACAGGATTATGAATCTGATCATCTTTGCTTTTTGACTCTGCTATAAAAACCCCAATGGCATTACCATGGAAATCCTTGTCGTTAAACCATTCAACGGCTGCTGATGCAGCATGTGGATCTTCATATGTTACAGTAGCATCTCCCTTAGGTTCGTTTGTCAGTTTGTCTCGGTATAGCCAAATTTTTGGTCGGCCTGTTCGCTTGTCTTTCTAAATAGTAGAAAGCAAGAATGAAAAAGAGTAAGCAAGAAAAAACATATGAGAATTCCATATGCACAAAGAAACTTATGTTGAAGGTCAGTTAAAGAGTAGCAAGTGCAACTTCTGACAATACCCGGTCAAACTCCCTACCTTTAACAAACCAATGGTGCCAAAATATTCAGCCAACATATTTTCATCAGTCCCCTCAGGCAAGTTGCAAACATAGACAGACCCATTTGAAGGAGCTCCTTTTCCTGGATAGGTTGCCATATAGCTCCACTTTCATGAAACTGGGCTAAGTGAAAACCAACTCCAATCCTTCACAAAGGCATACTTTCAGTAAGACATTTTTTTTCTAGTTGTATTGAAATATGCAAATATTAAACGTATTAGATAGAAAGACATTTATTTTGCAAAGGATTGAACGTGGCAGAGCAATCCAAGGAACGACAATGTATTTAAGTGCAGTTCATAAACAAGCCAATGATGATAAAATACATCAGGTTAAAAACTACTGCAAAGTTGGGATGGTTTTTACCAAATTACTGAACCATTCGAAACCATTGAGGAATATAGCATTACTCAAGCAAATAAGAAACATGAGGCTCCTAAGTCCTACACCATCTGAACAATGTTACCACGAAACGAGCAGAAAACCAGCAAAGAAAAATTAAGACTTCCATGGATTTGGCATCGTCATACAATGTCAGATGTCCCAATATCAGGACTTCCGAATTTCAAATTCCTTTTCTTTTAGCAGATTGTCAGGACCAAATCTTCCCTTACCTGAGTTTCCTTTCAACCTAACGGCGGTCGCAAGCCTCAAGCCTCTCAAATGTGCAAGCCTTAACCCTAATTGTGCGATTCCGCTGTCTTTATCTGCGAACCCCTAATTATAATCGCGAACGATTGAAGAAGATAACTATGTTAGTGCAGGATCAGAAGAGAGAGAGACTGGAAGCCCTAATTCTAAACTTGGGTTCCAGCTTCAGCCACTAGCACCAATTATCGGTTTATTGTAAATTTTTGTATTACCCTAATATTTCACACTTTAAATCTTTTTTGTTACCCTTTTTTTTTTTTTTTTTTTTTTTTTTTCCCAAAACTTCCCGGGATGGGGGGTTGCCCCGTACACCCCCCAAGGCCCAGGGCAAAAAGTGAGTTGTTGCTTTTTTTTTCCCCTTTTTTTTTTTTTTTTTTTTTTTTTCCCAAAACTTCTCCGGGATAGGCTGTTGCACGTACACTCCACTAAGGCCAAGTGTCAAAGTGTAGGACACCCGTGTCCAACAATCAACGTTGTGTCCACAGTAAAGACACTTTCTGGACACGTCACTATATATGGATATTGTGAAATTGGAGAATGAATATCAATATTTTGTTTTTTAAATATATATATATAAGTATTATTATAAATTATTATTTTTTAATTGTCATGTCCCCGTGTTTGAATTTTTTGAGATATTTTTTTTTCCCATGTCACCATATCTGTGCCGGTGCAACATAGGCGATGTACTCGATAAAAAAATAAGCCTGATAGGTTTATCCCGACAAATTTCGCCGGGATAGGTCTTTCCTAGGATAGATATATCTTGAAAAACATTCCTTGGGATAGGCATTCGATGGGATAGATATAAGTTATAACCATACCAATTTTTGTCGTGATAAGTCTATCACGTCAAACTTTCACTAAAATAGGCCTATCATGACAAAACTTCACCAGGATATGTCTATCCCGACAAAAATTTGCTGGGATAGGTTTACCCAAATTCGCCCCATCAATCATTTACCGGGATGGATATAACCCCACAAATATTTGTTGGGATAGGTCTCTTCTGACAAAATTTCGCTGAGATAGATGTACCCGACAATACTTCACTGGAATAGGTCTATCCTACAATACTTCACATGGATAGGTCTATCCAACAAAATTTCATAGGGATAGGTCTAGCCTGACAAAATTTTCACCATAAAATTTTGTCGGAATAGGTCTATCGTGACCAAACGTTCGCCGGTATAGGTCTCGCTATCTAAACCTTCCCTCCCTTACCGCAACTCAAGCTCTTCTATTTTTACTTATGACTCTCTTTAATTTCTTCGTATAACTAAACACCTCCTCATCACCGAAATTGCAAAGCATTTGAATTTGAAACAGGACTTTTGCAAAGTTTGGTTTAATTTTTTTCAATAAAAAAGATTCTAAAATACTCTAAGAACATTAGGGAAATGATATATTTTGGTCATTAAATCACTTGTTTGTGGCATGAGTCGTGACCAACAATATATCTTCCTTTACTTTCTTTAAAAGAAAGAAAAAAAATATCAACAGGGTCTAGCCCAATGGAAAAAAGCCTTAACTTGTAGACCAGAAGTCTCAAGTTTGAATCTCCACAACATCATAATTGTGTGTGTAAGAGAAATCCCTATAGTTTAGACTATCACTTGTACTTAAAAAAGAAGTAGAAGTAAATACTCATGGGGCTAATTCCTAATCAGAATCCGTTGGAAGCAGAGGTATTGCCAAAACAAAGACATTTAACGGACATGCCAGAAACCGGTATTTGGGTAACAAAGGTTACTAGGGCAAAGAGAAAAGGCAATGAATTTTAAAGGGCACATTTTTGAAATGAAGGTCGTGAGGGGTTTAGCCTATAAGCTAGTTTGTCCTTTTGTACAAGCATATGAATTTTAAAGTCATATGCTGCACCAAAAGAGTATAATATGTGCATGCATTTCAATGGTAAGCAAGCATTCGCTACAACAAATTATTCCCAAGGGACAAGATAGCTGGACAAATTACTTCTTGAATAAAATTTGTAGGCTAGGGATGCTGGGACATTTCTTTTTCTTCTTTAGCATTACAATTACTTGGAAAGCTCAGCTTAAATAGTAAAACTTGTAACATTACAAATAATAAGCTAGTAAAATCAGCTTAATCACTTCAAAAATATTATACAACTTATAATACAGCAGCGTCGGTTTGTGTCTGTATCCTCTCCTACTCAAGTCAAAATTATGAAAATCAGGACTTGGGCAAAACAAATTGAACGCCTAGTCTCTAAATTCTAACCAAAACATCAGCTTCGGTCATGGGTACCCCTAGATCCAAAGGGAACTCTTCCACCGTCAACAGAGCTTCTACTTTTAGCATCTGTTTTCCTGTCTTCCTTGTGATCAAGTGCTGACTTTTGCTTCCGTAGCATTTCTTCGGAATATCGTCGCCACAACACTTCCCTCTCTTTTCTTGCCATCTTATTGTATCTAGGATCTGGCTTTAGAAGACGTTTTGCTGTGGACCACGAATTTAGAACGGTTTTTCCATCTTCGGTCTCCTGGGACGCTGCTTCTGCAGTCAAGACTTCAGCCAACAGAGCTCTGAACTCATGCGCACATCGCTGGAAAAGCCAAATGATTAAGTAGGATTACACAGGGTGCATTCTTTTACCAGAATAAGTTACAAGCAACGAGACAATTCTTAACTATGGAAACAAAATTCAAATGGATCCAAGCACTAGATTATATATTACCTCATTTAGCCTCTTTATGTGTTCCCGGAAGAGCTTTTCCATGTCAGATGGTTCTAAGTCGGGGTTGGCTGCACGCCTTTGTGGATCCTTTTCCAATTTAGGTTTAGATCCTGTCCAAGATGCCTGAGTACATGATAAACAAAACGTATAATGATTTATTAAAACGCTATACACCACATTCATACCATACTAGATATGCAGCAATACATCTCAGATGCATGGTTTTAGATAATGAAGCCCAGAACAAAGTCCCTAAAACATAAAACCAAGTTACCAAAGGTAATACCTGAGGATCTTTAATTGTTTCCACAAGTAAAGCTTGAAAAGTAGCAACTGCCTCCTTCCTGCGAACTTTCAGTCGCACCCTCTCCGTTTCTTGTTCTTCTCTTTCCTTCCTCTTCCTCAATTCTCGCTCCCTTTCCCTCAGTTTCTCCTGAAAGCCAGTGCAGGGAAGACAAAATCTTAACCATTTTCCTTTTTTCAAAGTACACTCTCGTAGATGCAATAAACTAATAAGATATAAGTTCTGCTTTTTTTTATAAAAAAAAAGGTCCTATAAGTTCTTTGTCAAATGCTTTGAAGAACAAATTCTGAAAACCCCACCAACACACCACCTGAAGTGATAAATAACAAAATAGCCAAACAAAAATGAAGAGGCATATTGGTTAATAAATCAATCATTCCATATTTACCACCTTAAATTTCCCACTTCTTTTAATAAAGGTTGTCTCATACGTAAGGTTCACTTATGTTATCATTATTGGTTAATCTTCAGAAGTTTAGCAAATTAACAGACTAATTATTAAAATATATAGTTATATACACAGATGTATGTTCAGTACAAGTATTTGATTCCAATCATGCAAACCTTTTGAGCCTATGAAAGTCCCGTTTTATGCATCAACAGCGTGTGTGTGTGTGTGTGTGTGTGTGTGTGTGTGACTCAGAGATAGAGAGAGAGAGAGAGAGAGAGAGAGAGAGACAGACAGACAGACAGACAGACAGACAGACAGACAGACAGACAGACAGACAGACAGAGAAAATGAGGAGGGAGTTCCTAACAAATGTAGATAGAGTCTTTACCTGCTCATCCCGCTTAGCTTTTGCCTCTCGTTCTGCTTCCTCCTCCACAGCTTTTAGATCAGATATATACTGATTGAATAATATTTCCCTATCCTCATGCCTAACAGATTTGTATCTTGGGTCATTCCGCAGACTATCTTTCACCTACAGCAAGTCCCCAACAGAAATGATTCTACAAGAGAAAAATTAATGCAAGGTTCATATAAAATTTCTAGCACACTTAGTATCTCATATTTGTTTACTTGGTGCAGAACCTACATTCAAAAGTTTTTTAATATATAATTTATTGACCCCATTCTTTAGATTTCACAAAATGTGGCAGATCCTTGTGTCATTCTAAAATATCTTAATGATCTAAAACACCAACAAGAATTGCTTCAAAATGAAGCAGCCCAAATTCCTCATTGGCACAAAAGACACCCAGAAGCACATTGTCTGGAAGCACACTCTTCTGCACATCAAATAAACCACAACCTGAATATACCTACCCTGGACCAACGAGAACTAACAGTAATATCTCCTTTTTCTTGAAGCATGGACTTAAAACTAGTTGAAGCAGCAGCACGCGCTGCTTGAGCCTTTTCTTCAGCAGCCCTCTTCAATGGAAGGACCCTGCAAGTACAATAAAAATCATATATGACCATTCTGATATAAATTTATCATAGAAGCAAAATTAGATATACCGTGTGAATCCAAAGAGATATATAGACTAAAAGACACACCCAAGAAATATGGGAATCTAGTCACTAACTTACTACTTTAGGTGGATATATATTCTAGTTGCTTTCATTGAAGGCAGATGATTATTAATTATCAGGATTTGTATTCCTTCAGTGGACATCTTGTCCTCTGTGTTGTACAATTCCATTTTATTAAGAATAAGAAGTCTACTTTCCTATTGAAAAATAAATAAATAAAAGACACAGCTTTATATGCACAACACCAAGGATATATACATGTAGTCTTCTTATTAGGTGATACCTTTCATTCAACAAATGCTCACGATCCTTTCGATCTAAAGCCTCAAAGCGTGGATCATTGGCCCATTTCTTTCTGAAACTTTGGTAATCGGTGTTATGATCAATATCCTGAAAAATTTAAAAGATTCCATAAGCAATCTCCAATCCCCACAGTTCAGCTAAAAATATAGACATAAGCAAGATTCAAACTAAGGCAATCTACAAGACCTCTGATGCTTCATCCAATAGCTGCTTAAATCCCTCTATTGCAGCCTTCTGAGCTGCTCTTTTTTCCTTTCTTTCTTCCTCTGCACGTGTTTTAACATAGTGCTCAAACAACGACCTCCTAGCTGAATGACTTGGAATGGCCTGCAACAGTAGAGACCTTTAACAATAAGAAAACTATAACCGCAAATTTCTTAGTGTAGCATGACAGAGAAAAACAGTAGATAACACTGCAGATAAAAGGAAAATTCCACAACTACAACAGTTTGTGCCCTGGAGGTCAGCACAGACCTCCTGCCTTGAAAGAGCCTGCCTACTGTACTCACAACAATTAATGCAAATATTACCCTTCCCAAACAGTGCATATATTGACTTCCCAAAAAAGTTAACTTCTCTCAGGACTAAAAACAATTTTAGTATTAGTTGTTAGCATGCACCCTAAGCCAATTGATGACACTAGAACTGACCCAAGAACTGGCAGAAACAAATTCACCCTTCCAAAAATTAGTAGATACATGAATCCAACAAACTTGTTTCAAGCAGTTCGAGTTGTAGGTTAGCAACCTAATTCCCAAACAATGAAATTCCTAATATTTAGACTCAACAAACCTTAAATCGTGGATCAAACACTATCTTTGGCAGTTCCTTGTCCCACTTCGAGAATGGTGCCACTCCTCGTTCCTTAAGCATCTCCTGCATATATAATGTCCAGATGATTACCATTTCTTATCAGCCACATCTAAAGTTGCATCAACTCAAGTAAAATCAACTAAAGCCTTCAACTCAATCAGGAATGGTTGTATTTCAAGTTGCATCAAAGAGAAAAGAGTCCAAAGAAGCAAACCACACTTTCTATATACAAAAGGTCCAAGTTGAAAACTTCAAGAATGATCACCAGCATGGCATATTCCAAAGTTAATTTACTCAAAACCATATATAATAAACAAAAAAGAAAATATTTAAAACTTAATCCCACTATAAGAGTACAATTTGTATCTCTGTAGTAAAAACAAAAGTGAAGATCATCAATTTTTATGTCATCAGAATACGAAGTTGTAAAATAGTTATCATATTTTGTTGAATAACAATTACTATGACCTATTTATAAAAGAAGAAGAAAGATTCCAAATTGAAGTGAAAAGCTTCAAGGTTCATATTTACTTCTGGTTTAATAAAAAGCCAGAAGTGACAAGATACCTTGAATTGGGTAATACACTCCTCCTTTGTTGGCCCACTGTCTGCATCCTCAGAATCTGATGAGGAATCAGACAAGTTGCCATCCCCATTGATGTCTTTTAGCTTATCTTTACTATTATCGCTTTGCTGGCCCTTAGGTGTACTCTCAACTCCTCTTGAACCATTTGATTCTGATGGTGCTGGAACTGGTGAGGAAGTAACAGGAGCTCCAGAATCCTGCAACTTCTTCTTAATCAAATCAAGTGCAGATGATGTTCCCTGCACAGCTGATGGTTTAAAAGCCATGGCTTCACGACCACCCATGTTAATGGCTGGAGCAGTCAAACTAATCGGAGCAGATCCTTTTTCAGTCATTACATTGTTATTGGGGATTGATACTGGATGTTCTTTTGGTACATCAGCATCCTGCTTCTTTCTCAATTCTATCACTTCATTCGGGATCTGCCAGCTGCTTACCTGATTGTAGAAAAAGCAAGAAAGATGGAGTAAGGTTAATTATGTGTCGCGTGACTAGTAACACCTACTTATACGACAGAGTTTCTGAGTACCCAAAGGTTTTAAAAGGCAAGCATACGACCCATACCTTGGTTTTGCTATTATGGTAAAACTTTTTCCCATCACTTGTTGTGACCAATACCCAATCAGTTCCAGATAAATTTACCCTAAACCAAAAACAAAAACAAAAACAAAACAAGGATAAATAAATAAATAAAACTTATGCTGCTTCTAGATTGTAAAGACATTCTGAAACAACGAAGAGAGGGTAGGGAAAAAAGGGACAAGCCCGAAAGGATAAAGTAGAACTTACGTTGAAACTGGAGTTGGCTGCATAGAGACCTTATCAGGCTGCACAAAACAGCAATTCAAAATTAGTCAGACATAACACCAACCCCATCGGCAAGGCTAAAGTTACTCATGATTCCTAGAAAAAGGAAACAAGCATTTACTTATAAGTTATAACCAGATCTAGGGGCACTGAAGTTTAGATTCTAATAATTCTCTATCCTTATCTTATAAATCCCTATAAGAATGAGATTTTTTATAATAATAAAAAAAAAGTTGTATGAATGGAATCCTCATTGTCATAGTATTCAAAGCAATGCCATCTCTGATCCAATTAAGACTAATAGGATGCAATTTTTCTATAAGTAATAAAAGGACAGCAAAACTACCAGGGTCTGCAATAGGAAACACTGCAAGAACAAAAGCAAATTCAGAAACAAAAGTTCTTCTTACTTTTTTGTCTGAACAGACGAAAAGCTTAAAGATTATCCTGAAAGATCCATATCATCCGAAAGCACTTGCAGTTTTCCATTCTAATGCACAAGGAACCTCATTCCACATCGCACTAAACTGATATATACTAGCATACCAACATATCAACAAACAAACTAGACACAAGTCATAAATTACGCATGAGAAGAGTAGGGACCAAAGCTCCATACCTACAGGGATATGAAGAAGAATATGGTCCACTTTCTCACCACTTATATTGGAATGTGGACACAACAAGGTGTTCTGGTTAAAATAAAAATACTATTTAATATAAGGAACATAATAAATTCAAGGCCGCAGAATGAAATGATGCAGCAGCAACAAAATCCACCTCAAAAGATTTTCAATCTGCATCTCAAATACAGTTAAGAATCTTGCAACAGCATTTGGTGGTCAATCCAAGATAAGGCATCTTGCAAACTGAAATTTCACAAAACGTTTATATCATTTGAACCTAAAAATTAATTGTAATTGCACATACCTCCTCCTTAAATCCAGGGGGCTTATCATAAGTTGATTCACCGGTCAAAGCATTATAATAGTATACAACTCCTGTCTCTGTCTTGTGGGCAGTCCAGGCATCCAATTGTTCATTAACAGAAGCTCTATTCTCGTTGCCTGCATCATGGGATTGTTTCCTGTTATCTGTACAACGCCAATACCCAATGTACAATTGTTTAGAGGGGAGGGGAGAGAGAGAGAGCTAATACATCAGTATGAAAGTCAAATCATGCCAATACCAGGAAGAGGTAATTCTATCTGTATCCCTGAAAAGCCAGCCAGTTGATGACCAGAAGCAGCAGAAGGCGAAGAAATTGCTGCAGTATTTCCCACAGGGGTGACACCGGGAGGCTGAGAATCGGGTAAAGGAACAGAAGGGAGAGGCATAACATGTGCAGGCGAAGGAAAGGGAACAGGAAAAGCAGCAGGATATGGCAAAAACGGTGGCCTAGGAAAGCCTCCTATCTGTGGGGACTGCAACCAGACTCCCTGAGGAGGAGCGCCCATAGAAGATAAAGATGGGTAAGGAGCGCCTACTTGTGGCTGAACAGCTGATGACGCGACAGGAGCTATTTGCATGCTAGGTCTAAGGGCTACAGAAGAAGAATCAATGGGTGCAGACGGTGCAGTCGGATTAAAGGATATTTGCACAGGGTGTGCTATTCCTGGGGGGCCAGGGGTCCCAGGAGTTCCAGGCATTCCAGAAGTCAAATTAAAAGATGGGGCAGTAGGAACCCATGAAGTTGTTGTGCCCATATTAGGAGCTGATAATAGATTCATTGTGGAACTTGAAGAAGTAGGAGCAGGCAACGAACCAGAATGAGAGCTAGTTGATGACAATGAGACATTACCAGTTTCTTGTGCAACATCAGGTGGGATATTCTGCAATAAACAAAAAAATTACAACAATTAATTCTTTGGATAACTTTTCAAGTTTTCATTCCACAGGACCACGGGCAACATGCATACACCAAGAATATAAACAATTCATTGACAGATCAGAGCTCTCTTTTGCTTTTAGGAAAGGATAATAAGAACTTAGTATAATGTCAAAACAAAACTTAGTATAATGTCAAAACAAAACTTAGTGTAATGTCAAAACAATAAACAGTAACTTAATACACCTTCCTACAGCATGCCCTCTGGTCTCCATTGCAGCAATACTCAGTTACTCAATATAATCTCATATGCATTCAAGGAAATAGCCCTCACCATGCCAGATTGAAACTGCTGG